CGCCAGGGTGGGGCTGCCGAAGCCGGGGGCCGCTGGCTCCCAGACCCACAGCCTCCGCTGCCCACGGCCGCCCAGCATCTCCTTGTGAGCCGGCAGGAAAGAGAAGAGGCAGATTTGACAGTGCACTTGAGTGTATTAAGAAAAAGGAAACAGAAATACACAGAAATTAAAGCCAAGTCAGAAGGCAGCTTGTTAGTACAGAAAAGGGCAAGGGAGCTGCAGTCACTCCGAACTGCACCCCGCAGCGCCCTGTCCCGCACGCCGGCCACCGCCAGGGCCACAAAACGCCCTATTCAGCTCCCCCAGCTGCACGTGCTGGTATCAGGACCGGCCGGGCACCACGGCTCTCTTCAAAGCTCCTCAGCCTCCCCAGGCGGCATTCGGGCTGGGGCAACCCGCCTGCGGGCTCTGAGCCGCTCCCATGGACGTGCCTCACAGGTGTCACCCAGGGGAGCTGCCTCTGCCCTCCACCATCATCCCCTGCCCCGAGGGCTCACCTCTGCACATCCCTCCTCTCCATGGTTGGGACGAGCAGTCCCACTAAGTACCAGCTATGGCACCACCAGCTCTTCTATTTCTGCCTCATCTTGTAAAGCTGCAGATGCTGGAGCTGTTATGCAGCAAGACTTGGGCCTAGCAAAGTGATCTGAGGCAGATGAAACGGGTGAGACCCTGGCAGCTGAGATGGCAGGATCAATCCCACTGCCGGGTTTTACCAGTCAGTCACCTCCCTGGCCTTCGCTGAAATCAGGGCTGGTGAGAGGCGAGCGCACGAATTGGGGCTTGTCAGAGTCCATCATGGGCCCTGCTCCCCGACGCCGGATCACAGGCAAAGGAGGCCAAGGCTGGCATGACCAGGAACCCTCTGGTGCTAGCAGGACAGAGAGGCCGAGGAGTTCCCATATCCCTAGGCCAGCACAGTGTGGCTCTGCCTGTCCCCTGCGCAGGTGTAAACTCCTCCGTGACATGGAAGCAAACAAGGAAACAAAACCCTAAAGGACAGCAGAAGAGACAGGAGCAGGCACGGTGGGGTGGAAAGGCCGCCTGTCCCCTCCAGTAGGCTTTGGTAAGAGGCCGCTACAAGCCAACAGGACAGAGAGGCTGCAGAGGAGCAGGCAAAGTCGAGTCCTGCTTGGCAGAGAGCTGGAAATGCAGGTGAAGAAAAGAGCGAGCCAGAGCCTTCATGCTCTGAAAAGTTTCCGGGCAAGAGAAGAGAGAAAGCACTGCAGGCCCTGCCGGTTCAGTCAGGCTCCAGTTCGCGTGCTGGGGCTGGCTGGATGTCCCCAAGATGCCGTCCCCAAGCTGCACCGCCCCCAGGCCGGCTCTGCTGCCAGGAGCGCGCGCGATGCCAATGTGGCTCCGCTTACGCAGGTCGCCAGCGCTCCGTCTTGTGCTCCCCGAGGCTTCGGCTGTGCTGCCGAGACAGGGTCTGCCCACACACGGGCACTGTCCTGAGAGCCTCCAAGCTACATTTTTTTTCTTTTTCTTTTTTTTTTTTCCGATTGGTTTGGCTTTTTGCACACCCATGAGCAATTAGAGTGGATTTGGCCAGCGGAGGAAGCCTGAAACACGTCTCCTCTCTGACACCACTACTTGTAGTAAAAAGAAGGTTTCCACACCTGTGGTTCAATCCCTGCGTTCCTGGTGGAGTAGGATGGTCTGGGCGCCTGGAAGCCTCCCTTCGCCCTGGGTGACAGCAGGCGGCACGGGGAGCTGAGGAGCACGTCCGTCTGCGCCCCGGGGCCTGGCTGGATCTCATGGGTCAGGGTCACAGCCCCAGCAGCTGCAGGGAAGGGGCTGGAGGAAGGCCTGCTGGCCCCAAGCCCCACAGGGCGATGCCAAACAGGGGATGGAGGTAAGGGAGATGTGGGGCAGGAGGTCTGCTGGGGGTCCAGATAGGCATCGGGAAGCATGGGCCTGGGTGGAGGCGTCTCGTGGGGCAGGGACCTCAGGGGCCCTTTGGATGGGGACAGGATGAAGAGTGAAGACTGGAGCTGGTAGGGCTGGTGCTTGGAGATCTCCAGCTCCTTCTTGGAGACCTCATTCTCTACCAGGCCCCCTCCATACAGAGATGCTGGAGGGGTTTTGAAGGGCCTGGAGGGACTCTTGATAGCATGTCTGGAGATCATAGGTGATGCGCAAGCGTTGGTGTCATACTTCCAGGAGGGAGGCAGAGACATGGTGGGCGATGGGGACCGCAGCAGGTCAGGCTGAGACGGAGCCTCGATGATGAATTTCTCCATCCTTGACTGCCTCCTGGCAAAGAGCTCGGCTCCCTTCCCTCGCGCCTCGGTGAGATTGTGGCTGGGCTTGATCTGGGGCTTCGGCTGGATGGTCGGGGACTTGAGGCAGGAGGACCACGCTGGAGCGTCCTCAGCTGGCGGGAGGTGCTGCCCACCCCTGGCCATGCTGCCGGCAAGAAAGTTGGCAGCTTCTGCCCCCAGCGCAAATGGCTCTTCCTCGGCACCAGCTTCTCCCTGCTCCTTCTGCTTCTTCTTGATGTCTGCGTTCTGGACCAAATCCAGCAGATCAGGGTTTGGGCCCAGCTTTGGCTTCTCTACAAAAGTGAACATGGATTTCCTACCGGCTCTGCGTGCAACGGACTCCTCTAGGATTCCGGTTTTGGGCAGGGGGGCTGGGCTGCGGCTCCTGCCCTGGGGCAGAAGAGGTTTCTGCTCGCCAGCAGGGTAGAGCGCTGAGTACGCAGGTGGTGACCGCACACGGGTGAGCGGCGGAGGGCTGGTCAGGGTTTCCGCATAGGTAGGTGGTGGGGGCAGCTCGGCCACAGGGCCCTGCTCCAAGGGCTGGCTTTTCACTGCGGACGCCTGGATGCCAAAGGGCCTGGCCGTCCTGTTCTTCACCGGCTTGGGTTTTGCCAGGGTGAGGTGGACCTCATAGTACTGCTTGCCCTGTGAACCGTTTGCCTTCTTGCCCTCCGTTGCGGGGGCTGTGGCCGCGTTGGCTGCGGGGACGCTGTGCTCCTCGCGTGCGTCCTCGCCGTTGGTGTGTGGCGCGGGGTCGGGCGCGCTGGGCTGATGCCATGTTCTCCTTCAGGTAGACGCTGAGCGGCACCTGCTGCAGCTCAGCTGGTGGCTCCTCGTGGGCTGACACCTCCACCTGCAGCCTGTCATGCTCCATGGCTGGGCTGCCGTCTCCCTCCATGCTTCCTTCCTGGGGTGCTCCAGCAGGCACTGGGCTCAGGGGCAGTGTGGCACCATGGCCCGCACCGGCCCCCGTGGCAGTCCCCCAGGCGAGCTCGTCGAGGCGCTGCTTGCGCCGGTGGAAGAGCAGCGCACCCTTGGAGCTGGCGCTGGGCGCCGTGGTGAGCTGGGCCGCGATCCGGCGGCTCCGCGCCTTCGCCTCCCTCAGCTCCTTCTCAGAGAGGCTGGCACTCCGGGACAGACCTGGACAAAAGGGAGAGTGTGGGTTAGAGCGGGATCCGTGGTCACCCGATGTGGGCACCTACAGCCTTTCCTTGCATTTATCCTCATCCCTGAGCCCTGGCACCCAGCCGCAGCCTCCCCAGGCCAGCCTCTCCCAGCAGGACAGCGGCTGGGGAAAGAGCTGCAGGCACCCAGCTGGCCATGGGGCAGCTTCTTTTGCTGTGCTCAGTGCTGCACACACAGTGACTGTATGGGAAAGGAATTTCTCAGAAGACTTCAAAAGGTCTCAGGTTGCATTTTGCGCAAGCATGTCCCTCCTCTGAGATCCCCCTCCCCAAATCCCCACTCGCTCTGCTGACACACAAGCAGGGAAAGCTGGAGCTGGGAGTCGCAGCTGTGTCTGCATGGGTGGACAGGACCACGCGATGAGGCTGGTGGCCAGCGCAGGCCAGGCTGGGACTTGCTGGTAAAGCGACACAAGGTGGCAGCCGCCGCTAGAGGAGCAGCGTGCGTCAGCCGGCCTGAGCAGAGTGCCAAGCTCATTCCTTAGGAGCCTACAAATGTGCTAAAAATGGCAGCCAAGGGCCTGCTAAACCCCGCGTAAGGCCCTCTGGGTGCCACTGGGCTTTGGAAATGCTGGCCCAGAGGTCAGAGCAAAAGCACATTCCCGTGTCCAAAAGGACATGAAATTGCAGGGAACATGATTTCCCCGGCTGAGCAATGTCCTGCAAGCACAGCCTGAGCAACCCGACCCATTGCACGCAGGGCCGAGGGGAGCCAGGCAGCCTGCCCGGGCCTGCAGACGTTGCTGCCCGTGTGCCGCGGAGCGACACCAACAGGGCGGTTTCTGGTTGTCCCCTTCTCTCTTGTTCCTGGCCCCAGCTGCTTGAGCCCCCCTTGCAGAAACAGTCAGTGCTCAGATTCGCTCGCAGCCCTTGGCTGGCTGAGGGTCATCAGCTTCTCTCCTGGACGCCCCAGCCTGGCAGGCTGCTGCACAGCCCCACAGTGGGGCATAAGGAGCTGTCCCCACACCGAGCCCGGCGCGGGACACGGACGTGTGTGGCCAGGGCCGCCCGCCCCAAGCCCAGCTCCTCCGAGCTCAGCCAGCGTCCACTCCCCTTCAGTTCACATGTTTTTCATTTTCTTGCCTTCTGTGCCGCTTGGGAAACTTCCAGGGTATTTTAAGCGGTGGTGCAGCCTACCAGCAAAAGGAAGGGATGAATGACTAAGCCAAATCCTTCCAGTGAGCTCTCGGTGAAGCAGGAAGGCTGCTCCGAGCTGGGCATCTCCTCTTCCTCCGCACCCACGCTGCCTTCCCCAACACCCGCAGCCAGCTGCTTGCAGCAAGTCCCTGCCTACAGACACATTTCCTTGCCCTGCTTTCTTAGGTATGAACCAATACATCTCAGGCTGCTCCCACAGCACCCTGCTCGATGGGCACCTCCAGCACACTGCACCATGCACAGGGAGCTGCTCCAGGTCTCTGTGGGTGGCTCTGCCCAACACTGCTCCTCCAAAGGCAGCATTCTGCCTCGGGAATCATCTCACCCTCTTCTGGCTGCACAGAGGAGAAGGAAGAACACCCAGCTGGGTTACTCTGCCCTCCTTCCCGCACCGATTTACGAGGTGCTGTCAGCTCCCAAGGCTAGTCATCTCCCTTGCCGGCAAGCCACGACCTGCGCTTCGCAACCGGGCCACAGCGCCCAGCCACCATGCCCTCCCTGTGCAGCTCTGCTCCGGCAGGATGCACATCCCTGCCCTGCATCTCAGAGCAGATCTCACCATGCTCCAGATACAGCTCCTCTCCTGCCTTGCCCCTTCTCACACACACCCCGCCACCAGCTACATACAGGAAGGCAGCTGAGGAGGAAAGAAGGAGGAGAAGGAGGGTGGACCAAGCCTGCAGCCCACCCAGGAGAGGCGAAGGAGATGGGCTGCTGGTGGTGGGAGAATTTTGGCTGGGTGAGGCGGGGGAGAAGGCAGAAATGCCGATGGAAACTCTCTGCTGGAAACAACGAACTCGAATGAAGCAGCGGCGTCAGTGTCCAAGCTCTCCCTGGGCTGGAGCCGGCTCTGTTTAACACAACGCTTCTATTTGCTTTGGCGGTGGCACAGCGCAGGGAAGCAGCTTCCTCCATCGGGCCGCAAGGCCGGGCAGGCTGGAGGGCGGCCAGCGTCACCGGCTCCCCGCACCGCCTCTCCCTCCACGGAGGGGGAGAAATAGGGCCAACGAGCTGTTGAGAAAGAAGCCACAGGCTCCAGCTGTCTGCGAATCCCCTGCTCAGAGGGGAGCCGCGCCGCACGCATCCACGCTTGCTCGCAAGCCAAGGCCGCCTAAGACGCAGAGCTCTCGACAGGGCCATTTCAGAGCCTCTCTCTCGCTACTGCCTTTTAATAGCAGCTGTGGGGCCTGGCGGGATCTTCTTCTTGCTATGGGAGACTCAGCTTTTGGCTAGCAAATTCCTGCCTGGACTAGCAGCTGGCCAGGCTCAGGGGCTAATGCCTCCCTTACGCAGCCGGATGGCACCACGGGCACGTTTGGGCACGTGAGACCCAAGCACAGGACCAACGGGTCAATGTCGGAGTGCGCATGGAGCCTGGTGCTGCTGCCAGCTCAGAGGTTTTGCCTGCGAGTCGCTGCCTGCAGCACCAGAACCAGCACTGTGGCTCCCACCACACGTGGCTGCGCCCGGTCCTGGCTCCAGCCCCCAACCTGGACCCCCTGGCCCTGCTATCTGCTTCCAACGTCCCCCTGCAGACCCACATCCCGGCACCCCACACGGCACCGTTCCAATGGCACCCCAGGGCCCTATGTGCATTTTGTGCGAGCCGTTTCGCAGCTCCTCCCTCCGAGCTTGAGGAAAGGGAATTGCTAGCAATGATAATAGTGGTGGTGCTAAAAATCATTCTTAGCATCTGATTTTTATTGCACAGATGGAGAGCCCTGGACCCTCTGGCAGCCCAAAGGAAATTACAGAGAATAAGACTATTCTATGTGATTACTCTCCATGCTCCGTGCACACACTCCTGTGCTCACAGCCCTCATAACCCGCGCCAGGACTGCCTGTCCCCCCGCCACCTCACTGCGCCTCCAGTTTCAGATGCAGGACGAGGCTCTTCAGCCTGGCATAAGAGTATTCAGCCCTCAGTGACACGGCGTCTGTGCCAGCAGGGCCCCTCACAGCATCCTTTGCTCCCATCCCAGCTGCAGGAGACGCGACAAACAAGCCCTTAATCCTTGTCCTGCCACCTCGGGCAGCCGGCGCATGTCAGGGGCTTCATAGCGCGCGGCTCCCCCATGCCCCAGACAGACGGCATGGAGAGCAACGCGCTGAAAACATCCAGGTGTTGGGGAGGGGGGAGCCAGGGTGAGCACGAGGCTGAAGGGAACCCAAGCGGCACAGAGAAAGGGCTCAAGCAGAACTATATATGGCCAGGGGCATCCAGGGCTAGCGCAACGCTGGAAACCGGCTTCCGGGCATTAGGAGGTGGCTAGGAAAGAGTCCAAGTCCAACGGGTGACTTGCTCTTCTTGCGTTCTTCCAGTCTTCCTTCCTTCCTTCCTTCCCACGGCCACTCATGGCTCGCCACTGCGCTGGAGCTAGGAGAGGAAGCGTCGCCCGTGTCCAAACGTCCTGGCTTCTTCCAAGAACAATGAATTCGGCACCGACAGCTCATGCTCGGCTTCGGCCCCAGCCAGCCCTGATCCTATAACACCGCGAGCTCCCCTTGGGAAAGAGGACCCTATAGCTCTCTGTCTATATATACAGGCACTTGCTCCTTGGGCTTCCAGCTGCCCCAGGAACGACTTCCCGCAACATCCCCAAAGTGCCAGGCTTAATAGCTTCTTCCCGAGCTGTCAGTTAACCTTCCCATAACAAGTCCAGCTCCCTCCTCCAGGGTGAGGATGATGAGGGTGATGAAAGGCATGTTTGTTGCTCTCCCCTCACAGCCAACTGGCAAACAAAATTCCCTCCAGCTCAAGTTTCCACACAGAGGACAAGTCCCCTTGAACGGGGCTGCTGGAGAGCATCTGAAATATATACAGCGAGGCTGGACTCACCAGGGGACCCCAAACAACAGTGAAGGATGTATCAGAGCCTCCTGCAGCCAGTCCTGTCCTGACAGCCAACTTCAGAGATTGTCTTCAGCTGGACCAGGACAGGATCTAGCCCCCAGCTGCAGGAAGGGGAGAGACCCCAGATCATTCTGAGATGACCGGCCCAACGAATGCAGTTGAAGCTGCTGCTTTTGATTCAGCCAGGATGTCACCGCACATCCTTTCAGGCCACCTGACAGTTTGCAATGAGAAACTCCAGCAAAAACTGCCTCCTAGGCCAGTATGTAACATATTTGGCTCAGATGTATTGTGGATAAGCTCAAAATCAGAGAATTCTGCAGCAATTTGGGGAAGAAAAATAGTGCTTTGGAGGTTGTCAACTTGCAGTCTGGGTGTTTGCTAGCATCAGGCACGCTGGTGAAAAGTCCCATGCAGAGAATGTCAATGCTAGTGCTGAACAGAGTCTCCTGACAGGGCTGGTGGGCTGGGGCTGGACACGTGAAATCTCAGGCTCCAGAGCTGGTACATGACTCCAATACTTGGCCTCAGGATCTCCGTGTGCAGGCTGCTCTGGGTTTGGAGCATGGTCGTGCAAAGGCTGCGATCCCCCTTGCAGGCGGCTGGCCGGGACGGGTGAAAGGAGGAGGCTCGGGAGGCAGGACTGGCCATGCAGAGCCGAGGGCTGGTGCGGCACGGGTGGGAGTAAGAGGGAAACCCCAAACCCACCTTCAACGGGAGGAAAGCAGCTGCCATCCACAACACATCGACACGTTTCCAGATTTTAAATGTCTGTCAGGCTGCTGTCCAGGCGCAGCCCGAATGGCACCTCCTATCCTCCCCCGAGCAGAGCGCAGCTGCACGGATGCCCCCTCCCTTGCTGTGCAATCTTCCGGCAAAAAGCAGAATTGGGAGAAAACCCGCCTCTGCAGCGGGCGCGCTCGAGCACTTCCGAGCTCGGCCCGCGCGCCCTGCAGCTCCCACGGCCAGGCCTGCGAGCAGCCGCTCTCCCGCGGCAGCTCCTGCGCTGCTCATCCAGATGTGCCCAGATGCTCCAGGGGAGGGCGCAGGGCCTCCCGCCCCCGAGGCGGACTCGCCTCTACCAGCCACCCTGACTCCTTCCCATCGGCATTTGGGATGAGACTGGAGGAGAGAGCTGCCCTTAAGCCATGTCCCAGGGTGAATCCTGCTCCACGCGGTTACCTACGGCGTGATCCTATGATTGCAACCTGCGGCAGGGACACCCCGGATCAGCTCTCTGCTGCTCGGCTGGGAACAAAACGCCTCTCCCAGGGACATGTGGTCCTAAATCACGTTACACATGGTGATGGGTGGCACCGGGGGGGGAATCAGTTTTCACCCCAATGGTGAGCACTTCGGGCACTGAGGAGATGCAAGCAGGTCTTTTGGCATGGAACCCAACTGGCCTTTTGCCTCAGCTACAGCTGTGCAAGATTTTCTGCAATGAACGCAAACTCACACACACCGAAATTCCCTCTTTCCTCCAGCTCCCAGAATCATCCCAAATAATCTACTGCGAGGAAAACAAGGAGGGCAGCACAGATGGACAGGCTAACTCGAAACAGATGCAATTAAAATGCACGGATATAAATACAGCCATATTCCGCCTCTCTCTCAGATTCCAGTCCTCCGTTATCCAGATCAAAGTTTTTGTTCCAGCCACTCTACGGCCCCGCAAGCTCCCGCGCGAGGGGCAAGTGCTGCTCTGTGGGAACCGATCCCCTTCCTGGCAGGCCGCGCCGTGCTGGGCCTCTCCTCGCTGGTGCCTTTGCCAGTGACAAAATCCGGCACAGCAATAAAATTCGATTCGCTTGCAAGTTTTTGCTGAGCTCAGTTTGCAAAGGCTTTGCTGGACCCGCGGCTGTTTGCCTGTGCGCAGCCACTGCCTGGCACTCAGCACCTCTACCCGTTCACCCTGGCCCCACGGCCGAGCCTTGCAGCACCCGTCTCCCACACAAGGGAAGACAAAAACGGCCATAACACAGTGGGACAAGGAGAAGGGACCAGGGATGTTTGCTCTTTCGCAGCTGCTGGCTGCCCCAGTCTTGGCCAGACACAAGCAGCTTCTCCCCTCAGAGGATGCCAAGGGGAAGCCCTGCTTATATCCACTTTGGGGAAGGAGAGGCTGTTGCCACCACTAAAGCAGAGCCGGCTCCCTCCCCAGCCCATCTAAATTAACCTCTTAGCTCCATTAAAGTGGCTGGGGCAGAGCCACCTCCTCCAGGCTGGCCCAGCGTAGCCCTCAGGGGAGCGCGGCGGGCAGCAACCCCAGCCCAACGTGTGGCCATGGCCTGTCCCAAGAGCAAGGCCAGGTACGGGGACACCCAGCTGCCCCCAATGGCAGCCGGCCAGGGGAATCCCAGCCCTCCTCCCTCCCGGCGGATCCCTACAGATCCCTAGATGCACAGCCCAGGTAATAGCCCTCTCTGGCCAGTTGAGTGGGCAGGGAGGCGATGGCCTTGCGCGAGAAGGTCATCTGGCTCTTCTTGTCCTGACGGATGGACAGAGCGGGGAGTGGATGGGCATGAAACAGTGCCTTTGAATGTGTTGCACAATCCGTAACAGATCCCACTGGCTGCCAATCCAGAGAGACAGACCTCATGTCTCCAGCGCGAGATGGCACGGCCACGAGGAGCCCTGCTGGGAGATATGTCCCCAAGGAGGGACGCGCAGGGGGACGGGAGATGTGGCCCTGCAAAAGCCCTGTGAGGATCCCCACCTCGCCCCAAGGCTCAGCAGCGCCAGCCCGCGGGGCGGGCAGGGGGCAGAGGCACTGCTCACACATCGCAGCAACTCAGCCCTCTCCCCCTGTGCTCAGACCGGCCCTGACTGCCCTTTGCCGGAGGAGCCCCCGGCCCGCCCCAGC